TTGCCTTCACTTTATGCATAAAATCTTAGAGTTCAAAGTACCTAGCGTGCTCCGGCATCGTAAACCATGCGCGCTGGCTAATTTGGCGCCGGGTCATGGGGCGCGCTTTGGGCAGCCATGTGTAGATTTAAGTACGTGTCCTGTTCAAGTGCGTATGTGCGCTCAGAGTCGGCGTCATTCATTACCTAATCTGCTACGTATCTTCCAAGATTCATGGTAAACGTATAGACTATCGGTATCGGTCGTATTATCAAATCAATCTCACATTCAGGTTACGCGTGTAGAAGAACAGTATTGGGACCATTTGCTGTCACTCTACTTTCTGATACCCTTCTTAACGTGTACATTGGCTCTCTATCAATTCAATAAAGTAAGTGATGCCAGATTTCCCTTTCTGCTTTTCACTAAACCCTAGTTTTAGTATCCAGCACGAGTTTTTGTTTGTGATAGATTTTGTTATTGGGCAGGGATGACTCTAGCCGTCGTATCAATTCTTGGTCATTTTAGCAAGACCATGATACTGTTCCTTAATCCACAGGTACAGTCGAGTAGATTTAGCGGTAAATATAGTGTGCTTGCACAAAAGGTGAAATGCGGTGAAATTGGCGCGTGAAGAAATAGTTTCGACTGTGACGTCGGCCAATTGCGCGCGCAAGATACCCGCGGTACTGACGTGGCTACTTGTTCACGCGCAAATTTCACCGCATTTCACCTTCTGTGCAAGCACACTAAATTTACCGCTAAATCTACTCGACTGTACTTTACGGCCATCGCTCGTTATTGTTCTCATAGACTGTGGTTCTATTGCGGATTCTGCGAGTTTTGTGTACTTCAGGTATTTAATTTTCTATACTCTTTATCACAACTCTTCAAGCTTGTGCCATGTCCCCGACATCGCTTACCGAAGTTTAATCCGGAAACGAATAAAGCATGTTTAATCTCCACATTCTGTCCTTGTATCCATTTGTTGGTGTTTAGGTTGGCATGAGTATGGCTGAGTTCAAAGAATCGGATCTCAAATTTCTCGGAAGTTTTACTCTCAAACTGTTCTCCGCGTTTGGTCTACTTCACAGCAGAAGTTTTGATAGAGATGGGACGAGGCAAGTGCTCGTTATTTTTCTTCGAGAGATGTTCGACTTTCTCTCTAGATAGAGTTGTTTTTAAATATACTCACACGTGTGGGATCTAATGCTAAATCATGCAAAAAGTTTGTGTTCCATTTTTTTCGCAAAAAACTACTCTAAGTTTGCATTTGAAATGATGGCAAACCTGCAATCAAAATTGTCGATATGTGCTTTTGCTATCTCGTGTTCACCGGTTTGGGTCTTCTTTCCTGCATAAAGTTCTTCTTATTAGCAATACTACCACTACGTCTTATGTTATGTCTTGTGTCTGTTGTTACGGCCAAAGGTTGCCGGCAACTGTTGTCGGTGTTGTCCGTTTTGTAGCCGCTAAGTTTTGTTTTGCAATTTGCAGGAGATTGTTTGTAGTTAATTTGAAATAAATGTCTTGTTTCTTCATTCTTCTATCTTCTATCCACAAACGCTAGGGGTGAGAAGGAGGGGGTAAAGAACGGGGTTGAGGGTCGCGCTAAACTCTTACCCGGGGGGGGGGTCGTATTCGGCTGATTTGGGTGGGGTTTAGAGACAAAATTGGGGTTTGGAGCTTAATTAGGGCTAACTACAATATGCCGCGGCAGACTTGCGGAGCGCAAAATCGGCGGGCTCCGGAGCGCAAATGGGAGGTCTCCGGAGCAGAAAATGGGAGGTATCCGGAGCAGAAAATGGGAGGTATCCAGAGCAGAAAATGGGAGGTCTCCGGAGCAGAAAATGGGAGGTATCCGGAGCAGAAAATGGGAGGTATCCAGAGCAGAAAATGGGAGGTCTCCGGAGCAGAAAATGGGAGGTATCCGGAGCAGAAAATGGGAGGTCTCCGGAGCAGAAAATGGGAGGTATCCGGAGCAGAAAATGGGAGGTCCGGAGCAGAAATGGGAGGTCTCCGGAGCAGAAATGGGAGGGCTCCGGCGGACGAGTGGCAGACCCACCGCTGGGGAAACCCCGCGGCCCTGCCATTTCTCCGGCGGAGGGGTCCTATCCGCTGTCTGAGCTACTCATTTCCCTGCAGAGGTATATTGAATGGTACAGAATCCGCGATAATAGAATGTGGACAGAATCAGCGACAACAGCAGGATGTGTCACACTGGATGTGGAAAATAGTATATTTGGCGAACCGCGGGCAGTCACGGCAGACGCGCAATCTACAACGCCTAATTTACTGCCGATGACGAAATGAAGATGACTTACGACCAAAAGATGAGAACAGAGAAGTATCCATCATAGAACAGCGGAAACAATGATTTCTCAATTCAATCCCCTCTCGTGCATAAGGGGGTTCACTTCCCCTCCCCGCGGGGATCCCTTCTCTGATATTGCTTGCATGCATACGAGGGCTCGCTTGGGTAGGGGAGGGGAGCCCTAGCGGGGGTCATTTACATAGCAAAACGCACATCCATTCCCCGCGGGGATGTACGTGCATAGGGGCCTAAGTAGCTTTTATCAATTCTATGAAACAAATTAATTTCACGCGTACAAAGCGCACCTTTTTCGATTTTTCGACTAAGCCACTCAGCCGCTTTAAATTATTTCAGAGAGCGATCTCAAGCAGGGCATAAGGTCCTTTGGTTGCGAAGTTCTTTGGCGTATTTTCGCTGGTCGATTTTGGAAGAAAATCCCCCGCCCTTGTACGCGTGAAATTAGGGTAAGCTTTTTCAATAGATAACCCGTCTGATGCTTGGATTATCTCCGCGTTCTCGTTGCGTTTTTCAAGCAAGTTCCGACCTTACTCTAGAGTTAGCTTGATTTTGAACCTCAAGAGGCTCAACTCAGCTTCTGAAGTCCTACGATGAAGTAAGCACATAGTGTGTAGAAGTGCTTGAGTTTATGTATCTAAAGAGAAAAATTCACAACTCTGAGCGTTTACTTCGCCCACGCAGGCGTCATTCCACCAAAATCACTATTCTGATAGTAATCACACCTTTACTTGGTTTTATTCCATAGCCTCAAGATCAGTTCCGAAAAAGACTCGAAACTGCTGAGTTTTGAGGCTCGGAATCGCCTAACCTTAGGGTAAATTTGGAAGTGGGTTGAAAACGAGATGAAAGCAGAGATTTCCTAAGCCTCAAGCAAAATATTTATCGAGAAAGCTTAATTTATCTCATAGCCGTGTTAGAAGCTAATTAGAATGCTCGAACCGCAGAAAAAGAGGTTTTTGGAGCGTATTGACTCCAAATGCATTTTTAGCCATTTGGAGAAGAGTAACGTTTCTCTTTTTGAACAGCGCTGGGATTACTGTGTAGCATATATCTTGGACTTTGTTAATGTAACTTCACAAAAAATTTTGACTGGTAAGATCGCGGATTTCAATGAAAAATGAGCCTCGTTTGAGGTGTTCATATAATTATAAACCGTTAAAAATTTGCTCGGCTCAAAAACATTCCTAAGACTGACGCCAGTTTTCATTTCTGTGCCGTGTTTACCGTCCTCAGCTTATGCTCTTTCACGTAGCGCCAACGGTTTTTAGTTTCTTCCAAAAAGGCCTACAATACCCAAAAATGAGGTGTTCGTAAAATTATGGAGATGTAATGAACACCTCAAATCATCAGCTTTTCTCTTACCGTGATGTGGCTCGTCCACGCTTTCATAGTAGCACGCGGCGAAAGAGCATTGCGCTCGTTATAATTAGTAAGATACAAGCAATGGTTCGAAAGGGCCTTTGACCAGAGATGCACCTTATTGAACAAGCCAGTATGAAACAAGGACGGTTTTTCTCTGGTCAGTTTAAGAGATTTGGATCTTTTTGAATTTAAAAACTCTTTGTCATTCTTTTTCACAAAGAATTTAGGTTTATAAAGTATCATAATTACGAATTCATGAAGTTTTCTACATAATTTCGGGAGAAACGGTTTCCAGTCATTTGGCGGTTATTAATAGTAAGATACTAGCAGTAAGATAGAGTATATGCTTTTCCACTAAGGCTTCCGCTGAATGTGTGTATGCCCTAATAAGCGTTGAGGAAAGCTGCTGCAGTCTCCCAATAATTTGTATGTTGTTTGATGAAGCTTTACTCTAGCAATGAACTTTTAGATAAACGGCACAAATGCATGAGAAGCGATTTTGATTCCTCCACAAAATAACCATGCAGCAAATATAATACATTACTCTCATTATTTTATGATTTTTCCTGTTTATGATCGCATTTAAAGGCATTCTCCACTAATTAGTAAGCAGAATGTTTCATTTGGGCCAATGTTCTATGATTTTTTTTGTGTAACTGGCTTGTTTGAGGAACCGCGCTCACTTCGCGCGATTTTATCGCTACGCAATTTGACGAGTAACTAGGTGGTTCTAAATCAACCGTTCGCGGACTACAAATACATAGTATGCAACTTTACCGAAAAAATTCAAAGAATGCCCTATTTCTTGTCTACATTCAAAATGCGCTCAAGATGAAGCATGAACAACTGTGCTGAATCGCCCGGCGACTTGAATCTCGTGAGGTGTGCCAGGTGCCTGAAAAATCGGTGACATCTGAAAAATTACGGATTGCTCAGATTGCGTATCCGTTGTCAAGCAACTAAGGATATTTACTTGAGCAGGTGAGCGCAAATGGAGTTTATGAGATAGAGCAAAGTAGAAGCAGCTTTCATAAGCAGAATATGGTTTCAAAAAATTGATTGCCAATTATGCCAACTTCTCTCACCACTTTTATCATCATTTCTATGTTTGCGCAGTATCTTAAGTATGTTAGGCTGAATGTTAGCGCATTCTTCACGCCACAATGATGAAATACTTCATGATATGTCATCGTTACTGGTACGGAGCGACAAACATACCCGTTTATTACAACCAGTCTATCTCATGCCCTTATCCACCCCCATATTGCTATATAAACCACATCCAGAAAACGCGGCCTAGCTAATCGTCTCTATCTACCTTTCCACTATGGTGAGTTTGACCTATATTTCAATTCTGCTTGACTCTCGCTTCTTCTTTCCACTCTGATAGCGGGCCCCAAAAGCAGTCAGTACTAGGGATGAGGTTTGGATACGTTATTGAATTTTCAGAAAATCATCTTGTTTGCATTGGTGTCAGGAACGGCAGCCATTCTGTTTGGTGGGGGCGGAGGCGGTGGAGGATGCGGATGTGAAGTGAGTGAGGGTAGTGAAATTGTAGATATATTCGAATGATACTAGCTTGTCTAGGACACATCGTGCTTACCCAGATTCAATCCACCTCGACTCACCTGTCAACGTCAATGTTTCTCCATTCCTACACTTGCGGTGCGAAAATGAATACCCCCTGTGCAAATATCGTGGCCCTATAACTCGTTGAGTTTTCTCTGCAGATACCTTCACCATGCGGCTGTGGAGGACGTAAGAAGAGAGCGATCAAAGGCGATGCCCAATGTACTGATCCAGAGCTTCGAAAACTCATCTTAGCGGTTCGTCATCCAACAAAAAGGATACTTGGTGACCGTGGCTTTTTATAAAATAATCGCCCTTCCACCAATTGCTTACCCATGGAGCGTGTCAACAACACGTTGGTGCTAGGCTGATAGCCAAAATGTTCTGCCAAGAGAAGCACCAAGTGTAGCACAGCAACTGTAAAGGGATATACCACTAGACTTGTTTTGGAACGCTGCTTCCAAATCTGACTTCCGTTTCTGCTGATCATTCTCTGAACAGTTTTAGTTTGGTCGCCCAAGGCATGTACGATTGGAAGGTAGAATCGCAAGTGCGCTTTGTGTAGTGGTTACTGATCAAATGACGCGAGTATAGGTTTGAGTCTTTTTGCGTTTTCCAGTTTTGCGTTACTTCCACTGAGCCTCGTTCTATAAGTTTGGCATGCTCAAGGGAAATGCATGCTCTCACTTTTGGAAATACGGAAAAATAATCCCTATTTGCGCTAGAATGTTTTCATCGAACATAATTTGATATTTACTCGTATCACTCAATTAATTCCCCTGCAAATTCAATCAAAAGTCATTTTCAAAGCCACTTTAAGCTGCCGCACGTAGAAATGAGGTGAAGTGATTTACTATCTTCTGCTCCTTCCTGCTGGAAGTGCAGGTCACTCGCATGCACTGAACTTCTTCAGTAGATGCGAAATCACCTTCCGGATAGAATATTTTGCGCAGAAAATAAGGGCGTGCGTTTACCTCTAGAAAGGCAAACTTATGGAAAGAAGCCTATTGGAGACAATGTAAAGCTGAAAAACACAGAAGAATTTGAATCCAGAGCACCGTCTTGGGATTAACCACTAAGACCACGACGCACCGTCGGTACTGGCGTTCCGACTAGCTCTTGGACGACTAATTTCGGCCCAGAAATTTTTCATAACTTCTTTCAAAAAAATTAGCAGAACGGAAGTCAGATTTGGGATCAGCTCTCCAAAACCAATGTAATGGTACCAAACAATCACCAGATATCTTTCCCTTTTGAGATTTTCCCATTATTTACGGCTCTGACTATCACAAGCTAATCTCACAACAATATGCTTCAAATGAATTCAAGACTTTGACAAGCACCGGTTTCGCAAGTATCGTAGTAGTGACATCCTCAATTTTCCAGGGAATCCAAAATGATGTGAACGAATCACGTAACAACATTCTCGCAAGCCTCAGAGAAAAGCATGCTGACGCCCGGTAAGTCTTCCACATAACAAGTATGTTGACAACATAAAGCGTGCGCTTCGTAAACTACACAAGACTGGTCCATCACTAAGATCGATGCTCCTTCAATTCAAGAAAACGGCCTTTCCCGATCGCTAGTAATGCTGACTAGTCTTTGATCGGTTAGCACACTGGCTATGATTAGCCAAGCCGTGATCAGGGCAGAACGAGGGCGTAGATGTATCGAAAGTGTATCAAAATTTTTTCATTGTAACTTCCCCTGTCTTGGGGGAGGAGGGGGAGAGAGCTTCGATACATAAATAGACTAAGCTCTGATTTTACGCCCACTATACTACACCTTAGATTCGGAAAAAAAAGTGTAATGCAATTCAGAGTAGTTTCTGCATCGTAGTAATAACGGCGCATTTTAGAAGGTAAGACTGCGCTGCATGTAGGATAGGGGAACAAACTCTGCCATATTGGGCCGTTTCCCCCTACAATAGGTCCTTCTGCAGGGCTGCACGTCAGGAGGTACGCCGCGCGGGGCCGCCGCTCTTCCGCACACACCAAGTTCAAATCTTGGGGCCTCCGAAACTCTCCGGCGTTAGAGATTCCCGGCGACAAAAACAGGGGTGAGGGGGAGGCAGTAAGATTGCGCCAGGAGCGCTGCCGTTGAAAGCGCTGAAGGGCTATGCGGCGTCGCTTCGCGAAAAATTCGCGCCGATCGTACCTCCTGACTTCCCCCTTTCTGCAGTGCCGTGGCAGGTGTTTGAGGACCAATAATCCGCGTCCTCGTACCCCTTTGATAACTGAGGTTCCCTCCAGTCACAGAATGTTTCAACCAGATGGATCAAAAATTAACAACTTCAAATCCTAAGCATAAGCAAGTTACTCCAGCCGGAACTGATTCAGAATTGACTTGGCGCGGAACGGCTGTGATCGGCGCACGGCTGCCTTTTATTAGCGCTGTGTTGACTCATGCGCGCTAATGCTGAACATAACAGCAAGCGAGTTCGGTAGCGCGCGTTGGTCACACTCGCGGGCGTTCAGCCTAGAGCGATAGGGTCCATTCAGAGCAGTCAACTTTACAACTAAAGGAAGAACTTTGTGCAGTATTCTGCACGGTCTCATTTCCATTTCCATCTATACGCTTAAGACGCTCCATCACAAGCCAACAGTGTTAGCAAAACAAAGTTGAACCTAAATCATGCACGTACAGATTCAAACAAGTCATCATTCATGTCCGGAGTTTAAACGCGAATATACTAGTGCAGAACGATCTGAAATGGCCTGCATGGACGGTATAAAGATATGTAGGTGGCAGTGGCGTACCCAGGACTTCGGCTCGGATGGGGGGGGGACAAATATTTTCTTCTACTAAAGGTGCTTGGCGTCAGCCACGCACTCCGAAAAATTTTTTGGTATGCCTAAAAAAATTCTTTATGAGGCTGAAATGAATTTTCAAAAATTTTGAAAAATATTTTGATTATTTATAAGTATGAACAAATCAGTTGCAAAAATTTATAACTCATGTAAGTAACCTTCAAAAATTTCGAGACCCGTTCTGGGTAGGGGGGGGGGGCCTCCTCTCGGTACGCCACTGATAGGTAGATGTAAATATTGGAACTATAACTCCATGAGATGGCACTTATGTCCGATCGTTTGCCAGCAAATCGATCTTCACATTATTCAAAGGAGCAGACCAGAATCTTACATGGTGGGTCTACTGGTCAATCTCGCGCAGTAGGTATGCTAGGGAAGTCCAGAGACTCCGAAGAAATATTGGAGAACAAGTGCTCATGCAAACCATTCAGTTGAACCAGTAAGCCGTACTTGCACGTGTGAGGTAGCCAAAACGAGATACATAGATTCGAACTAAGATGATGATGAAACCCGAGCTAGCAAGAAGTAGACCAAAAGTGATGACGAAAGATAACCATTAGTATGAAGAGCGACTTCAAACTAATGAGTCATTGCGTAAGTTCGTAGCGTTCTCATAAACCAGCAAAATAGCAAAATTTTATCAAAATCCACTATACAGGGTGTCCCAAAAAAATGTTTAGAACGTTTGATCGTTAATATCTCTCTTCCCAAGAAGTCTTTTGCCTTGCTTCAGGTACCGTTTTGTAGAGCTGGCTTCAACTTAGATTTCCATTATAGAACGAATCACCCATCTTTCTTCATTACTGTAGGGTTACAGTAGAAACTTCAAAGAGGGTTTTGAACCTTGAAAGGCCATATTTTGCCTCAGAAAGGAAACAAAACAGCCTGAAAACTTTTACACCAGGCTAATTAGAATTGCTGGTTATAACTGTAAAGTTTCCAACTTATTATGATGCTTCATTGAAGAGTTATGCCAGGTGAGAGGTAGCGGCCTTTTTTTCAATGTTCCTAAAAAGTGCGATTACACCGTTTAGAAAGCTTCGTAATCTTGTGAATAGTTGAGTATTGAACTCAGCGTCTATAAAAACCCTATTACACAAGTTTTCACAATTTTTTGAAAAATTTTGAAACGGCAGCTTTTTCCACATTGACACCATATGTTTCAAGTTTCTACCGTAATCCTACAGTAATGAAGAGAGATGGGTGATTCGTTCTATAATGGAAATCTAAGCTGAAGCCAGCTCTACAAAACGGTACCTGAAGCAAGGCAAAAGACTTCTTGGGAAGAGAGATATTAATGATCAAACGTTCTAAACATTTTTTTGGGACACCCTGTATAAAATAGGCTTCATTTTACGCACACTTTTTTGCCACCTCGCTGACAGTTTTTCAACTCCTATCAAAGCTCAACGGGTCTGGTTCCAAAATGTCGTCTATTCAATGCCTAAGATCGTCCATAGAATTGAGCCAGCCTTGTTCATATAGGTCTGAGGGGTACAGTATGGTACTGCTAACTAATCTCTGCGCTCTCCAGTGTAGATCTTCGGATTCAGCATAACGAAAGGCCCAAGTAAGCGAAAAACCCCAAAATCGACTTTTTGCCAGGACCTGTTTAAATTGCATAAGGTATAGTTGACTGATTTGTTGCTGACTTGCAATTATCGGTGCGGAATTTTCTGCCCCTCTAACGAAAAGCCCTGCTCAGGGGACACCTGTCCACCTTGTTATTTCAAGCAATGCTGTTCTTTTTTGCCCAATATTGACGTGCGAAGGCCATTTCCGTAATCGGCAAAAGAATGAAGGAAAACAACTTTCTGTGAAAAAAATGTGCATGTGTCGGAGATTGCTTTTATTTGCATTTAAAGAATCCTGCCTTTGGAAGCTCAGAAATCGAAGTAAATCAGCTGTTCACTGAATCAAATAAGTTTCGTAAAGAGCATGATCTGTGTACGCATTCTGCGGCAAATCAATGCCACTAAAAGGAGCGAGGACGAGAGAAAACGTACGAACTTATGAAACGACTTAATAATTGAAGAAGAAAATTTTACAACGTTCTATTTCTTTGCTAGGAAAACGTTTTGTCTATAATATTTTCAAGTTACTTGGTGACGTGCGTCCAAGGCTCGGCCGTGTTCCAATCTTCAGCGGACGAACATTGCTCAGATGGTACGGTTCAACTGACGTGCTACGTCGCCCGAGCAAACGACCAGGCGCACTCCTAAGAATGGAAAACAAGCCGACAATAGGCTCTAGAGTTCTAGTAAATTATGTTCTCGGAGCTCAGTATGTCATCGTGCATGTAATAGCCATCCTCCCTGCTATGATAGTGTTATCCATCCCATGATGTGCCTTTCAATCTTAATTGTCTTTATAATATGAATTAATGTAAACCCCCGAGCGCCTCTCACTTGGTCTTACGAGGTTCGTGAGGGAATCTTCAAAAGCATATTGAGACGTTTTCTTTGAAACAGAAATGAATATTGTTCCTGCTAAATGGCTATCATCTTCATATTGTTTTTATGTAGTTAGCGACTGAACAGGATCTGATAATTGACCATATAGTAGCTTTTATCAGTTCACGGTAGCAATGATTTTCAATCTAGCTTTCTATTGCTTGATAATCCACCACTTTAATGTTCTCGAATGCCACTCATAACTCTTCATCGCAATTACTCACTTTTATGCGCTTTTACCCTCTCAATAGAACTCTGACCCCCTTACAAATGTTAAGAGTGGTAAATAAAAAGTGAACTTTTACCATTCAAATGTGTAATTATCATTGCCGAACAAGACAAGCAACTCGTGCAAAGGCAAACGAGTTTAACAAATAGACAGGCATGCCAGGCATGGTGTCATGCACTGTTTGTGGCCGGTGAAACGCATAGTGCATCGTGGCTTAGATTTTCTTGAGATAACGACCTAGTTTTTCAGAGGCTGAATCTAGAAATGGCTTTGTTTTTTGGCAGCGTCGGAGCTACTGTAGGTGTATTGCAGATTGCACTCCTGCTTTTATCCAAAAACCATTAATCCGTAAGTTTTTGTCCCAAAAGGCGAACAATTAATGCCGTGGTTGTCAACGTGTCAATGCTGGTGTTCATTCCTCAGAACAACCAACTTGAAGTGACCAGCGATTCAAGAGTAATACGGGCTTCAACGGATTTATTTAGTTCTTCTCGGAGCAACCGAGAAGTAATTCCAAAACCTCTAAAATTTGTCGCACACTCGCTCAGACATAGCTATGATTTCTTCCAACTCGATCCAGGTCAAGCTGCAGTGCTAATGTATTCGCTAAAAATTTAGCTAGTAATACCACACAAAAGATTACAGAGATTGTCTTGGTTCGGAGCATGATCTAAAGTACAGGGCAAAACCCGGGGGGCAGGTGTTAGGTACCCAGCCGAGGTGCGGGCGTTAGGTACCCAGCCATCAGTAGTATATACTATGCCACGCCCCTTGCCTGCTTTAACAGCGGGTACCTAACGATACACCAAATCCTAGCTGCTAGAAAGGCTCACCAAACTCGCTAAAGCGCTGGCACTTGCGACCCACAGAAAAATGATAGTTCGAGAAAATCAAAAAAATGCGCGAATGAAAGCGCAAGTTTACAACGCTTTTTTATTGCTTTTTTAAAATCAATTTTAGAACCACAGAAATTCGGTGATGAAAGCTAAAAACAGGGTAAGGCTTTTATGAGCAGTCCACATAGTTTTGCAAAAAAAATTGTGATAATCTGCTAACCGATAACTCAGCGGGAGCTTCAAAAAAGAACTTTGAGATTCTGAGATTTTAATTTTATGATATTACTGAAGCAAAGCGCACTTTCGGAGACGCTCCTAGCAATAAGTTGCACGAAATATTCCTTTGTTTCAAAAAAAAACTGCTTCAAATATATTTTTGACAATGAGAAGAGGAACCGATTGAAAGAAGAGCTTCGACGAGAACTTGTCATCGAATCGGAACTTTAAGGCGGACTGGCCCGTTGATATGGGAAGGGCACTAGCTCTGCCTCAGTCAACGAAAATTATAAATTACAGAGCTATGCCAATTTTGAACGAGTGTCGCCAAGAGAAACAGGAAAAAGCAGCAACTCTACTGAGAATAATATTATTAAAATCTTTCGCTTTCTAGGGAGTTGCAAAAAAATTCATAGCTTTGGTTGGATAAACTGAGCATAATTTGGCTGCTAGAAAAGGAAATGAATATGAAACCGTTGCAATATGTAGGCCTCCAAAAAGCATTACAGAGAACGTAGGCATGATAAAATACAGTAGCTCAATGAAATTTTCACACGAGAGATCTTCCAAAATAAAGAAGAATGTGTACTTATCAGTGCCCCATAAATCTGTTGGTCTTAACGATGACCGAAATAATAACCTTAATAATCTACGTTGACATAGTTCACAATTCCTGTGGAAATATTAACGCAAGTGTTGCGACCCTTAACTTCACTTCTCAAAACGAGCCTGCTGACAATATGTGAAAGGAATATTCGTTCAATAATTGCCAGGGGCGCATCCGAACGTGCACCTTTTTCATTAAAATCATAAAATTTTGATTTATTGGTATTCTAAAAGGTTTACTTTCATAAAATTCCCTCCGACATTATCGGTTCAGATCACCACGATTTTTTTTGCAAAACTATGTGAACTGCTCATAAAAGGTTCACCCTGTTGCTTTCAACACCGAATTTCTGTGATTCTATAATTGATAAAAAAAGCAATAGAAAAATCGTTGTGAATTTGCGCTTTCATTCGCGCATTTTTTTGATTTTCTCGAACTATCTTTTTCATGTGGGTCGCAAGCCGCAGCGCTTTAGCGAGTTTGGTGAGCCTTTCTAGCAGCTAGAATTTGGTGTATCGTTAGGTACCCGCTGTTAGAGCAGCCAAGGGGCGTGGCTTAGTGTATACCACTAATGGCTGGGTACCTAACGCCACGCACCCGCAAAACCCATATTCGAGCGAGGAAGGGACAAAACCAAGGACATCACCATTGATTTCATCCGCAAAATTATCCCTTTTTTCTCGCTTTTGTACAGTCAAGCCTCAGCACGGTGGGCAAATGTCCAAAGGGGACATTGTAAATATACGTCTACATGTATGTCCATCCTCTCGACAATTTAAATTCGTCGCTAAACGAGACGTGCAAAAATACGATATTGCTCGCGCGCCATCTAAAAAAATCCATATTTTCTGCTGAGTTGTAATCAGATCTCTTGGTTATAGCGCACAGCACACTTAACGATATGATCAAGAATTTGGAGTATAAACTGACAGGTATTAGGAGGAAGATAGAGTGCTGTGGAAAAATTACATGACTGAAGATTGTGGCAAGCTTTTTTCTGGAAATTTTCCTCTACCTAAAATGATAAAATGGGTCGCTTGCACGTCCAGATGAAGGTGTGGCACGAATTTGGTGTATGTATGCGCAGTTGGACTGAGAAAAAAGTGTGAAGTTCTATGAAAACTTATATGAATAAAGAGCGTGCTCATGCTCATCTTTTTTACAAAGCTGAAGTTGAGTATATAGTAACATTTTGGTTACAAAAGTCCCTTTTCCTCGGAATAGCAACGACTCCGGTCACAACCTACGCAGCTGGCAAAAGAGTGGAAAATGTTGAAGCTCGATAGAGGCAAAGGCGAAGTTGTTTCACCGATGTTCATTTGTCACCCCCGCTTTTTTATCCTCGCATGTGTCCCACTTATGCAAGGTCTGATTTTCTTGTCAGATGTCTCCATGTCGTTCTACCTAAGACAAGGTCTTCGTCCATACCAAGTTTTCGCAGATCGGCCTTTATTCTGTCCATCCACCTCATTTCGGGTCTACCTCTGGGTCTTCCATGGTGCCTCCATAGCCAGGGTTAACTTTGTGATGTGACTTTCATCCCTTCTGTGCACCTGGCGCACACCATCGTAATCTTTTCTTGCACTGGCTAATTGGAGCTACTTTCCATTGCGCCCGTATAGTGTCATTGCAGAGTGATCCTTCAGTGTGGCCCTATCGTAGCATCCTTGTTTCAATGACACTAAGCTTGCGTTCCTCGTTCCGCATACACGGTCAGCACTCATTGCCATACAGTGCTGCTTATGCGCTGAACGTCACTCTATTGCTCTTAGAGTCTCCGAGACAGCTATACCAACCCCGTTTCTGGTGCAGGTGGCACCGTTGCAAAGGAGCTTATATCCATCTCGGATGTCGCGTGACTTTGCCCCGCTCCGCTTCGTTTGCTGTAAGCAGACTACATCGACTCGCCGTCTCTACAGATCTGCTTACTCTCGAGAACAGAAGTGAATGTACCCATATTGATGATAGCTAGACGGAGAGTCTGCGATGCTTTGGATCGTTGCATTTGGTGAACTAGCCGCTTCAGCCGTCCCGTTCATCTTGCTAAGACGGTAACTCTCGCCCACTATCCGCCTTCGTCGGGTTCGAATGCGTGTCGCTTTCGGGGGACGCCTTAGCTTTTACTCGAGATTCTTTATGAGAAATTTCTGCCTTTTTAATGCGACGGGGTGTTTCTCAGCCGGCTTGTCGCATGCACTTTTTTGGAGGGCAGGCCTTCAGCACGACAATGTTACATAGAGCATTAACCACAGGACTAACTCTCCTCATTTGTCACCCTGGTGCTGGTGGATAATCCGAGCGCTTTACAAAAGATTGATTTTTTCGCTAGACGTAAATCCAAGCTTCAAGTCAACTTTCAGGCAGGGCGGTATCAGGATTTCCGTCTGGGAGGGAGGGGGGAGACAAAAATTTTTTTCTTGGATGGAGGTGCGTGGAAAAATCACCCAAAAGTTCGCGTTGTTTCTCAGACCCATGCTCAAAGCACTTAGAATGAAGACAAACAAACGCTGCAAGCAATACCCGATGCAGAATCTTCCTCTTTCTTATGGTTTTGTTTGTGTTCAAATTTCCTTAATGTCCGCTCATCGGCAGGGATCTCCAACGCGTGATTTCCTCCCATCTTCAGTTTGGCTATTTTTTTAGAATTTCTATTTTCAACTTTTGGGGTAGCGTTGATAACAGTTGAATAGAATAAACAAAATGCAATACAATGAACTATTTCGGCTTCATCAACTAACTTTTTAGTGTTTGTTAGAATAATTTTTCCAAAACCCCTTACTTTTGCGAAGTCGCGAAATACACAGTCGCTCTAAACACTGACAAATCTTCGGAAATTGAGGCTTCCAAAAACAGCTTATCACTTGATACTGATTTTAACGAGCAACTGAGCGTTTAGCAGTTCGAAATTTCGGATCCCAATTTTTCTGGTTATAGCCTGGGATGAGTGTGAAAACAATAATTACAATTATTTTGAATTCAGATATTATACAAAGATGAAAAGAAGTCTATCAAAAAGAGGAGAAAAGCTGCATCGAATGACACTCTGGTGCCAGTATCCATTGTTATGTGAGGATTGAGGTGCCCAAATACGGAATTTGATAGCATCAGAAATAATATATCTTCAAAAATTTTGAGAACCAAGCTAGAGATGCAAAAAA